CACCCACACACACACACACACACACAGGCTTCATCCTCCACTCTGCTCGCATTCACGTCCTTGCAAATGTGTGATGGTCAGAGCTTTCTAAACATTTCTCAGTGTAATCGCATATGGGATTATAGGAAGCCAGATGGCCAGGAAAGAAGAAGATTGGATTTTTAGGAGAAGAGGTGCCTCTGTTAACTGTGTAACCTTTGCAGGGAGGCAGAGAGTAACTGGTTAGGGCAAGAGTTGCCCATCTCTAAAGAGTTCTGGCCACGTTCCTACATCCACCCTCAGATGAAGAAGTGAACCCACGTGAGATAGTGAGGCAGTGTTATTAGTAGCCAGCTCCCAGATGAAAGAGGAAAAGAGGAAAATGGAGATTTTTTCAGAACTCAGTTTTGTTAAATACGGTAACAGAAGAACCTAAAGTGGCAGAAAAAAAGATAAGACTGTAATCCTAGCACTCTGGGAGGCCGAGGCAGGCGGATTGTTTGAGCTTGGGAGTTCGAGACCAGCCTGAGCAAGAGCGAGACGCTGTCTCTACTAAAAAAACAGAAAGAAATTAGCTGGACAACTAAAATATACATATATAAAAAAATTAGCCGGGCTTGGTGGCTCGCACCTGTAGTCCCAGCTACTCGGGAGGCTGAGGCAGGAGGATCGCTTGAGCCCAGGAGTTTGAAGTTGCTGTGAGCAAGGCTGATGCCACGGCACTCTAGCTGGGGCAACAGAGTGAGACTCGGTCTCAAAAAAAAAAAAAAAAAAAAACGGAAAAAAAGAAATAAAGATAAGAGATTCCTGCCCCTGGGGCAAAGCATTCAGTTGCCACATCACAGAGCAGGGCTTTGCAAAAGTATCTGCACAGCAAGAGCTGAACACAACTGTGTAGAGGAAACAAATAAGCCACTTGTGTAAGGAGCGGCTCTGAAGCTATGTGTCAAGTCCTGGGCCAGGTACAAAGACACCCTGCCACTCTGTGACCACGGCCTGGTTGGGGAGGGGGACGACAATGAAGGAACTAATAGTCACGAGGCTACAGAAGCTCAAGCTGGCTCCAGCTAAACAGACCCTGGAACAGACAGATGCCACTTTTGCCAGGTCCTGTCTTGTGAGAGGGTTACCGGGAGTTTGCTATCAGTGTTTGGGCAGAACTGTCAGGAATGGCTGTGGAGAAGAAAAGAGCCTTGGAAACTGTTTAGGACAGGGGTGGGGAACCTGTGACCTTCACGCTACATGTGACCTTCCAGCATGGCCTTTTGACTGAATCCAAATTTTGCAGAACAAATCCTTTTATTTTTATTAATACATTTTTTTCATCTTTTATATTTCTATTTTATTTTTAAAATGAATGTATTGTAAATACCAAAGAATGAAATAAATTTTAACGAAATAATCCTCCCAGATTTGCCTGCATAATTAGAACATTAGTAAACCATGAGGGCTAAATTTGACAACTGCTATGCTCATGATTTAGTTCTAACTTCCCCCGCGTAACTGGCACCACTACTGAATGAAGCTGGTTGTCGAGAGTTTATGGGGGTTGAGTCCACCAGTCTGTTATAAGCTTTTGACAACGGTGCACTGTGTTTTTGTTTGAAGTGGAATTTGTGACTAGCTGCACAGCTCGACAGTATTTTTAATTCTGTCTGCTTAACAGCCCATCATGTCAAAGAAGACCAAGAGAACGCTGAAGGAAGAAAACAGATTTTTTAATGAGGATTGGGAATTGTAATATTATAATATCTTTTTTCTGTTAAAGATAAGATGATTTGCTTGCTTTGTGTTACTGCAATATCAACATTAAAGAAATTCATGCTCATCAGCATTATAACACTCATAAGGACCATAAATATTTTAAATTAGAGGGGGAGGTGTGAAAGGTTGTATTACAGAAATTAAAAGATGAAAAGCAAAAGCAAAGACAATTCTTTCAAGCAGGATTAAGACCTGGAAA